GCCTGACATGGGGCTCCAACAGTGGAACCATGAGATCATGACCTGAGCTGAAATCAGACATTTAACCAACTGAGCCACCGAGGCGCCCCTGATTAGAATTCTAAGGGTCATGATCTGTGAATCACATTTTTAGGTTATTCCCAAAATTTTTTAAGCATGGGAGTTAAACACTCAAGTATACTTTTTAAAAGTCACCAGAAAATGCCCCCCGGAACAGCTGGACACCATGAAAAACCATGATCCATATTGTTCGTATGAAAATGAAACAGTACAATCTCCTTATTTGGCCTTCAATATTGAAGTAACATAGCCAATTACAGAGGAACATTCTGATAGGTATTGGAAAAGGGATCATTTATTCAGAAAGTTCTTTGGAGCACATTCTATTCCATATGGCTCTACCAAGGAAATCCCAAATTTGAAGAAAGCAGCCCATTCATTTAGGTAGCTTCCAACATATTTTAAAAATTAATGTGTAAAGAAATGCCCTAGGAAGGCTTTTCATTTTTAAACCGAGTAACTTGCCTGTATTAGCTGCCACCAGAATACTCATAATAAAATCTGAAATTTACAATGTTCTAAGAACTCTACAAATGTGCATATTGTTTAAGTAGTTGTGACAGAAACCACATGATCTGCAAAGCCTTAAATATTTACTATCTGGCTTACCCCGCTGGAAAGAAGTTTGCCAACCCAGGACCAAACGAAAGCTAATGATTTTTTTTAACCTCTTCCCTGCTTCATTGCTTTGGTTAAATGTTGGTTTCTATTGTTGAGTAGTCAAAACTATCAGTATTTAAATTCTGCAGTTTGAATCTACTTAAGAATCAGCAATCTCCCATCAGCTGTCATAAATTTATACTTTGCTGACAAAAATCTCTACACAGCCCCTTCTCATCTGGATCATACACCTGCTTTCTAGGTACTCCTATGATGCAGGTCTCATCTGACTTTTATAAGGAAGATACAGGACCACCTTGGAGCTATAGCATCTGTTTCCAATTATCTAACAGCAAATGATTAGGCAATTAGACATTTTAAAGTCTATTTTTTATCTATGTAGCTAGTAAACTCTAAATTTTGGTCCCTAATCTCACTTGTAGAGACCATGTTTTTTCCATGAAAGGTGGTGGTTTCTGGGCCAACATGCCCTTAGAAGGGGTCAGCACTAAAAGAATCCTTTTAAGGGACTGAGGTAGCACATTGGGAAGGAAAATGTGGACTAGCTACTTATAATCTATTTACCCCCTTCATCTGAACAATTGAAAAACTCCTACAGCCGCCTCCCTATCCATCTTTCTATTTCTTTTTTCCTTTTCCTTCTTTTCTCATCTCCTGGAGAAAAAAAAAGAGTGGATCCAGATTATTAGAAAAGAAAAAGCAATAGAGAATCATTAGTTCAGTTCCTTCTCTGCTTACACACTGGCCCCAGCTCTGTCCTTAAAGCTAACACTGCCATGCATTTTGCTGTGAGATAAGTTACAAACTCAACATAAAAGTCACCAAAAAAACAAAAACAAAAACCAGCAAAATGTCCTAGAGATTTCAGCCACATGCATTATGTACTCACTAATTAACACAAAGCCTAAAGAGTAACCTATAGAAGCAATTAGGTCTAAACCAAAAGGAAATCATACTGTTTCAAACAGAAATGTTAATAAATATGGAAATCCTGACCTATAGCTCAAGGGTGTTGTCAGTATTCAAATTACAGTTTGAGTCAAGGCAGGAAGAAACAAGGTAAAAAAGAGGACAGCACAGAGATTAAGAGGATGCTAGAAGAACTATTGAAAATGTGGCATGATCTTCAGGAGGAATGACCTTTACCTCTGGCAATAAAGAAGTCTTTGGAGACTTTAGCTCAGATCCTTTCCACAGAGCAAAGGGAGCAGAAGGTGGATATTCACACCCATGGAAACTAGAAGTAGAAGCAGACTCTTCAGATCCAAAGGACAAAGATAAATAAAAGAGTAAAGCTTTAAAGCTTAAAAACCCAAGGCTCCTTCGTGTCCATGTTTCATACTTTCCTATTCCTCTGCAATACAGTAGCCCTAATTAAAAGCAGTAATTGAAAGAGGGACAGAGAGGAACGGTGACCAGAGAAAAGAAAAGCAGAGGAGGCCATGGGGCAGGTAAAGAACATGAGCAAGAATGAGCTGGATACCCAGAGTCGAAGACAGAAAGCTGACTGGAAAACAGATGGGATTGGGAAACAAATTTAGTAGAAAAGCAGATTTGTGGAAAGAGGGAAAAACAGCACTGGGGAGGCAGGAACGGATGGAATGCAAAACAACAGAGAAGGACCTATCGAAAATCCCCAAAAAGCAGCAAGGAGGAAGAGGAAGTAAAAGCAAAAATAAAAGGAGAGAAGGGATTAACCCAAAAGCAGTTTAGGTTTGTTTACCAACTAGTATTACAAAAAACTAGTTGAAAATAACCCCAGAAATTTGAAACCACAGTGAAACTGTATGTTATTTTAAATTTTACCTCAAAAGAGAGTGATACTAATTTTAAGATCTTAGGCTCTGGATGGGAGAAGATTAGGATACGCTAAGATTTGAAGTACAGATTGTGTAAATTCCAGAGAGTTCAGGAAAAGAAACCTCTTTCAACATAACTGGCTATTCAAGGGCAGTTACAGGAAAAAGAATCATCAGATGTCGAGAATGGTGTTCTTTTAACATGCTCTAGGGTAGAACGCATCTTTACTAGTCAATCCACCTGCAGCAAGAAATGGAGAATAAAAAATTGCACTGTTACTGTGTGCCCAGCACAAAGTAAGGGCTCATTAAATATTTACTGATAGAATGAACTCATCTTTTTTATTATTACGGTGAAATAAATATCATGGGTTAAGGACATTTGAAATCCCAATTCAGAGTTGTAAGAGGCAACTAAATCTTTCTAAAACTGTAACAAGGTATGAGCCAAGGTATTGCTTAAAAGGGATCAACACTTGAACTACTATGTGTAGAACAAGATTCTAAGCACTTTCTTATCTTCTTTAATCTTCCCAGCACACCTGGAAGATGATGATTATTCTCTCCAATCAACAGTTTCAAAAACTAAGACTCAAGGAATTTTAGTGTATCACCCACTAGTCAATAAGGACTTTTGAGGACTGGAACTTGTGTGCCAGAAATAAATTACACAAAGCCAGGGGTTTTAACCTATTTTGGTCTCGGTTGTTTCTTCCTAGATAAATGCCTGACACAAAGAAGAAACTAGACAAGTACTTATTGAACGAATACATAAGTGAATGAATGCCTATGTATGATCAGACAACTGATCATATGGCTAGGGGAAAAAAAATACATAATCTTGCCAACTGGTCTCATTTTAAATTCATGATGGTTAACCTCCAAAGTGGACTCCTAGCCTTGACATAGCAATCCAAGTTCTTTCAGTCCCGTGTGTATGTATGTATGTGTGTGTGTGTGTGTGTGTGTGTGTATATATATATATATATATATATATATATAAAAGTATTTAAAACTGTGAGTCAGGATGAGATCACTTCACGTAAGTGCAGGGGGAAAAAAAAGATCTAATGTTTAAAAGCCAGAGAGACCAGGAAAAAAAAAATTGAAAATAATTTTAAGAGCAGCTAGTGTGGCAGGCCAAGACTTAAGAGAATGGTATCCCAGCAGCAAAGAGAAGGGAGTATCTCAAAAAGGGGATAATTAGTCAGTTTCTCTAAGAAACACATGTGCATGCAGGTTTCCTAGGGACTGCTCTCAGGATTAGCACCTGTAAGGAACTGGGAAACACAGGACAGTGCAGAGGGCTTGACTAACGTACAGGGAACTGGAAAGTTAGGATAGATAGTCCCCTACCCTCTTGAAGCAAGATGCCCACATACACCTCTCATTGGATTCAGCTGGTCTCAAGATTACCTAATACTTCTCCTGCTTCACTTTCTATTATCTAGATTCACCTTACCCTGGGAGTAAATCCCAAATTCCCCTCCAGGCGAATAATTAAAGTCTCAGCACAACCTGAACAGAGAAGGGCTAAATCTGCTGAGAAAGGGACTTCACAGAAAAGAGGGGCAGGACTTGACAACATGTTTACTCTTCCTTTTTCACTGTAAGTTTCCTCCAACACTGGGTTGTGTGTAGTCTACATCAGTGACATAGTGCTTGCCCTCTCACCTTGAGCATTTATGCCATCAGATGGCACCAACTATTTTACCTCCTTACAGCAGCTATAAACAGTCTCAGGGAGGCTTGCTCAGTCCTCGAGGATTTTGGCTTCTGGGCTCCATACCATTCTTTCCAATACTATTTTGGTCCTAATTCGTAGAGAGTTCAATATCCACAAGCTCATTTCAGTTGCGGGACCTCTCTTTCAAGGATCCTGTTGTCTACTTTGTCTTACCCATCCACTCAGGTGTTCATACCTGAGAACTTAGCAATACCAAAAACTGAAACCGTAAGCTGTCTATATCAACCAGAGAAACAGAACCACTAAAAATTTAACAAATAGAACAGAAATGGGAGCTGGTTACTCACCTTCAGTAAGGCTGTTATCTTCATGTCCAATGCTAGAACTGTCCACAGGGCAGGCAGTTAAAAAGGAAGAATATAAAAATGGAGAGAAAACAAATTAGAACCCACAAGGACAGATGGGAAGCCATTTCAGTCTCTCACCACTTCCAACCTTAAGCTGGGCACCTTGCTGCTGGAGATACTGAGGCCCTCCATGAAGGAGTGAGACACATACCTGACCCAAGGGATGGAGAAGCTGAAGGAGAATCCAGGGGGTGTTGTGGTGGCCGTCTAGCTGCTGCCCAAAGCAACGAGATAACCCAGCAAACAGGCAACAACGTACATGAGCTACAAAGCACGCACCCTGTTTTTGAGCATAAAAACAAGATGACTGTTACCTTGATCCCACCCTCCCCCTAAATACAAACACGCCAGAAGGTAAGGTGGTTCAGCTGGACCAAATTGTCTCATTGAAAAACCACCATCCCCACCTCCCATAGTTTTAATTTAAACTAGATACTCCCTGGAAACCAGCTGCTATCCTTCCAGCTCATTACCTCTAGAACTCTTCCAACAGTTCTTTGCTACTACTCCAAAGTGTCCAATAATCCAGCGATCCTTTTAAGGTGCCTCACAGTCACTATATCCTCATTTCCTCTGTACCCAGTTTATTATTGGTATCACCCCCTTGCATAAACCCATATCTCACCTTCCTCTCTCTTTTCATCATGCTCACCTGTTCAAACATCACACACACCGCACATACACACACAATTAAATCCAACTCTCCACTTGCTGCCTGAACCAGCACAGCTGGACTATTACTGCAAAAAAAAAAAACAAAAACAAAAACAAAAAACAAACAAAAAAACCACATAACCATTCTAATAGACCTTACTTTGAGTTCACTCACCTCAGATGAAGTCCTCATGCTCTCCAGCAGCCCTACTATATTTCCCCAGGATACATAGATACACCATCTCAAACCCTCTCCATTTCGGGCTTCTCTTTAACCTTCAAACACAGCCTCCATCTTTCACGCTCAGCTCATGATCTTGCTCCTATTTGTATCTGTTATCTACTGCTGCTTAATAAAACATACTGAAAGGTAGCAGCTTAAAACAGGAACAATGATTCAACTCACTGTTCTGTGACTTGGTAATTTGGGCTGTGTTTACTGTGTTCTCAGCTGGGTTCACGCGCAGGTGTGGGCCTCAACTGAGATGGCTGGGAAGGCAGAGGCAGCTGGGCGCCCCATCCACATGGATTTTCACTCTCCATCATCATTTCTAGAATGAGAATGGAAGCTTCACGACTTCTCAAGGCCTAGGGTTAGAACTGGAAAAATATCACTTCTGCTGCATTCTATGGGACAGAGCAAATCACAGGTCAAATTTAAAGAATTGTGGAAACAGACTTCACCTCTTGATGATAGGTCAATCTGTGGCTATTTCTAGAACCTATCAAATTGTTTTATTACCCATTAAAAGGACAATGGATCACAAATAAGGACAGAAAGCAAAAGAAATGCCATATCCATATTTTTCATTTTACCTGTTTTATCAACATTCTCATATAAATACAGATTATCAAAATTTATTCAATATTTGTGCTTTGTGCTTTCTTAATTTAAATATTGATTGAATTAGGGGTGTCTGGGTGGCTCAGTCGGTTGAGTGTCCAACTTTGGCTCAGGTCATGATCTCACAGTTCGTGAGTTTGAGCCCCACATCAGGCTCTGTGCTGACAGCTCAGAGCCTAGAGCCTGGAGCCTGCTTTGGATTCTGTATCTCCTTCTCTCTCTGCCCCTCCCCTGCTCATGCTCAGTCTCTCTCTCTGTAAAATAAATAAACATTTTTTAAAAATTGTAATAAATAAGTATTGATTGAATTACACATTAAATGTTCTCTGATAGGGATCAGCACAGTATGGTCCACAGGCCAAATGCAGACAGTGAATAAAACTTTTGTAAATAAAGTTTTATTGGAACATAGTCATGTTCATTCATTTATGTAAATCTATAACTGTGTTCATACTACAGCAAAGGAGTTGTGTAGTTGCAACAGAGATAGTATGACCCATAAAGTCTAAAATATTTATCTGGCCTTTTACAGAATAAATTTGCCAATTCCTGCTTGATGGCATCATTTTTCCATCTCTGAGTAAGCCTATTGATTCTACAAAATTCTAGCAGACATGATGTCCATTATTCAAATCCCAGTGATTTATGCAAAAGAACTACCTCAACAGTGCCACACTTTATAGACTCAACCTTTGTGTTCCAAGAAATTTCTTTGGTAGGCTTTTCAGATGCTGCCACATAAAATGAAATATTTATTCCATATAACAATAGAACCAAAAATCCCCTGCGAAGAACACTTAGTACAGCCACCTTTTCAAATAGCACTAACCCTAAGTAATGCATTAGATCGTCTTTTACTTTATCAAACCATTAATCAAGCATAAAAGAGTAATACTTAGATATAGCTCTAAAGTATTATTGCACTTCAAAATCATCCAGGGAAGTTACTAACAGGCTGATTCTCAAGCCCCATCCCTCAGATACTACAATCCACTAGGTTTGAAGAATGGCCCAGGAACCTGCATTTTTAACAAGCACTACACTGATTTTGATGCTGGTGGTCTAGAGACCTCATTTTGAGAAACTCTAAACTAACTAAGGTGAGTAAACAGAAATAAATTAGGCTTAATTAATCATTGCTTTTACTGCTTTGTTTTCTAGGGAAAAAAAAAATCAGTATCCCCATAGTTTACCAGGTAAATAATGTAATACATCATTTCCTTAGAATTTTTGCCAGGGTTGAATAGAAGGTCATTGTTAGGCAGTTTGGAATCTATTCCAAAAGTTACTTTGCTCAACCTCTTTATGGTCATCCTGATAATATTGATTATATCTATATTTTACCAGCATTTTAAAATTATCAGAAGTATTGGACCTTTTTAGCATTTTGGAAGGCACTTCTCCATTCCCCCCTCTCTCCTTAGAACCTATTACAATACAGTTTGCTGAGATTTTTCCTTTAAAAAAATGTAATGGAAAAAGAATTGAAATTAAAAAATTAGATGTGTCATCTGTGTATGCAGACTCAAAGCAAATTTCTCACTTGTAACATGAGGGGATCATACTGACTATGCTTTGCTATACCTCACATATTTGACAATGTGTGATTTTCTGCTCTTTACATTTATATCAAGACTTTAAAGATGAATTTCAAGTGTTCACATCTATACTTATTTAGGGAATAAAAGTAGATTAAGAAAGTTCTCATATTGTCACAGATATTGTACTCTCTTTAGTAGGTACCTAAATAAAAAAATAGGAAACTGTACTTTAAATTGACACCCATTGGAGGAAATGGTATTCTTTTTTTTTCCTTTTAAATCCATGAATACATGGAAAGTTACATTTCATTACAATTTCAATTTTGTATGACTCTATCACTGGAATGCTTCTCATGAAATGTAATGACAGTTTAGGCCATTGGTTCACCTATGAATAACTCAGATGTTTTAGCTGGACGAATTCTCATTCCATGTTGACTATTTTGCTACTACCATAAATAATGTTCAGGCAGAGCTTTGTGGAGGAAAATGAAGAAATTTTTTGCAGTACTTTTGATAGTGTACACATGGAAATGCCCAAAATTGTTCTCCTTCTTTATTATTTTGCATTTATATAGCACCTTCTATATGACTAAAAACCCATAAAAATTGAAGGCAATGAATTGATGCCTGAGAGAAATTTAATAGAATAGGACCCAGAATGAGGCACAGAAGAGAAACAATGCTCCTGTGATTATGACTTTATAAACAAATCCAATTGCTTTTTGCTGTGCGGGGTTTGTTTGTTTGTTTTTTTTTTTCCTGTTTGTATACCCATACCACACATATGGAACAATAAATCCAGCAGTTTCCAGCAAAGGCATCAAATAGCCTAGATGTCAAAGAGACAAAGGAATGATACGCTCTTGAAAGTGGCCATGAATGTCACCAACTCAGAAGCCACAGCTTTTTGAGCAGGGTGTCCCTGAGCAAATACACTAACAGCAACAGAAGTAACACTTTCTATTTATATACTACTTTTTTAGGTAGTAGGCATTACCCTAAGTATTTTACATGCCTTGTATCATTTAATTTTCACAAAACACAGAATCTTATTAGGAAAGTATCATATCCCACTTTTAGTGATGAGGATTTCAGTGTTGGAGGTTAAAACTTTGTGTGCCAGTTATATTGTCAGAAAGATGCAGAGCCCATGAGCAGATCTATGTTCAACCACAGGTGTATCTTCACTCAGGCAAGTAATGACTTTCTTCTTTTGGAGAATTCACTCTTCATCTTTCCCATTCTCCAACCCAATATCGCATCCACTTTAGAGGCTATTGCCTTGTTTCTGTTTCCATTGAGAGCCCACCAAACTCCTCAACATGCAGTAGGTCCTTAACAAATGGTTGTTCTTTTCCTTTTCTCCCCACTATGAATAATTACTCTTCTGCCTGGTTCAGCTCTCTACTCTCTGAAGTGGAAGCCATGTGGCTGATAAACATACACTCGGTAAAAAATAAATGATGAAAACCAATATTAATCAGTTATCTTGGTATATTTGCATTTTAACATGAGATTGCTGAAAACACAGCACTCAGTCTAAAGGATCCATTTCAGACTCTGTGACAGGCTAGTGGTAGAGATGTTGGAGGGTAAGAAGATCTCAGAGTAACCAACCATCCCAGTTTTCCCAGACCAAGAGGTTTCCCAGGACATGGGACTTTCAGTGCCCAAATTGGACCATCCCAGGAACATCAGGGTCACCCCACCCTAACTTCTCTGAAATAGCTCCAGTGATATTCCCTTAGGGCTAATCCACTAGTGTGGGAAAGGCTGTACATTGTTTTGTCCACCCAAACAGATACACATAAACATTAGCTGAGGAGAAACTTTGAAAGGAATGGATAATGGTATAAGTGTGTGAAGCAAAAACAAAAATATATGACCCCAAAACATGCTTCTAATATCACTGATCAAATTTCATTTTTAAATACTAAAGGGGACCCTAGGATCATGGGAATTCTATACAATTACATGACACAGTTAATTTGTATTTTTATCCCCCCGCCCCCACCGGGGGGGTGGTGTGGAGGAAACTTATTGAAATATTGAAAATTTGTTCAATATAGATAAACTTACTCAAAACGAAGCTTACTAGCATCACATGTGTCTATAGACACACTTACTACCTCATGACATGAGGAGGAGTTCATGAGACCAACGTAGTTACTTATTTACTGTGACCAAAATGCTCAGTGATTTGTATTTCAAGGTAAACTATAATATTGAAACACTGTAATTTCAGATTTTAGAACCAGGTCAAGATTTTTTCTGTAAGATAGTTACCCTTAAAACTTTATAATATCTGTGTCCTATATCTTCTAGAAATTCTGGGTTCACACACTATATATCAACGAAGTGGGAAATACAAAGAATTTTTAGATTCAGGCAATAAACAGAACAATGTAATTTTTGTCTGAACTTTCTTGAACTACTTTCTTAGGAAAATGGAATACCTGATGTCATTTAGAACATCGTTTTTTTATAGACCCAAGTTGCTAGGAATAACAAAACACAAGCAATATACTGAGGAAATTTGATGTCCAATTTAAATAATAAAATATCTATACACATTCTAACGTCTTTCTTAGAAAAAGCATTACAGTTGCCTTCACACTTTTTCAAGTCCATGAGACTCTCTCTCCTGAGTCTGATACTAGTAGAGGAAATACTGAGAGAGAGAAAAGAAGAAGAAATAAATAATTTAGCATTTATTAATGTATTTTTTTACACTAAATGATACTGCACCATTGTTCCCAGCTCTTCCTGTATGTGGGCATAAGGAAGTGGAAACAGAAGGAGAGGAAGGTAAGTAGGGTAGAGAAATGAAGATGGAAAATTTTTTTGTTACTTCCAATCATTCAGATTGTGGTACCACCTTTTCCCCACCACCACCCTCCCATAAAAGACTCCAAATCACAAATACTGCAAAGGCAGTATTAGGTTATTCATGCTAACTGTAAGTAATGGGCCAGAGAAGTAAATTAAAGCATAACATTATGAAGTTTCTTATAGCTAATACCTCTCTATCATTTTATTAGAAAAGTTTTTGTAGCAAATTAAGTTTTCATCACTGTACACTCAATGTTATTATTTATTAGATTTCCAGTGAGTAATTAGAGTTTTTAATTAGACAATAAACCTTCGAAAACTAAATGTAGGTACTTAGGTCCAAAATTAATGGAGAGGCACCTGGGTGGCTCAGTCGGTTAAATATCTGACTCTTGATTTCAGCTCAGGTCATGATCTCACAGTTCGTGAGTTCAAGCCCTGTGTTGGGCTCCACACTGACAGTGCAGAGCCTGCTTGGGATTTTCTTTCTCCCTTTCTCTTTGTCTCTCTCTCTCAATATAAATAAACTTAAAAAAAAAAAACAAATTTAAAAATTATGGAGTGG